TAAAAATATATGTTTATATCAAAAAAATTGGTTTTAAACCTAATACTAAAATTTTTATAAAAATTCTAAGTTCTTTTTAAAATTAGTACTAATTTTTTTTAGATAAGCATATACTAAAWTTGAAACCAAAAATAAGTTTTAAAATATAAAAATCAAACTTATCCTTGCTTTATAAAATTTTGTCTGTTTTGTCTTGAAATAATATATTTTTCAATTTATTATAAATAAAATAAATTTATATGATATGAATAAAATAAATATGTTTATTTCGTTTAAACTGAACAGTCTCATATCATATACAATTTTCCATCCAGTCGTTTAGCTGCGCTTAATCCCGCTATTCTTTACTAATCCTCACAACCCAATTAACAAACGAAAGGAAAATTTATTTAATTGCTTGAATATATTATGGAGTTCTCGAAATTTAAAAAGCAAACGGCGCTTTCTCTTACAATTTATGTGGGTACCCTTCGCGCATGTGCATATGCCCCTTCGTCCTAGCTCAAACGAAATTTTGGCATACGCGTTGTGTCGTAACAACAATTCCACGTGGGTTGCTCCATTCAAAGACGCATTATTATTGTAATTTTATACACATATTTATGTGCATTTGAATATAAAAGGAGTATAAAAAGCGCTTAARAGAGCGACAAGGTGTGTGTTGGCACGTTATACTTTTGTTGTGAAATGCTTGCTTCAGCGCCCTTTTCAAAAGTCAAAAAATAATCATCATCATAATTCACACATAGGCGAGTGTACACATATATCAGGGGAAAATAAAACTAGTAAGGCACACACAAACGCACTAGTGTGTTGCAACCCTTGGCTAAAGACTGCACCTTTGCCTTAGTCAGCGCTCTTATGCGCCGCCGACTTTGTCTTCTCAGCGTTTTTCTTACGAATTTGCATTTTTATTTTCAGATATTTAGAACGGCAGTYAGAAAGTGCTACGTTCATCGTATAGGATTGTAYTTTTTGTTTTTGCTTTTTCGAAAAYTCACGCACAATTGCAGCGCTCACACGCGCGCATCCTTTTCGCCAACGTGAGGAAGCTGAGGTAGCGCRTTGTGCGGCACTGCCAAACACTGGTATGTGTGTGTGTGTCGATGCAGCTCTTTAACCCGATTCGCTACTGTGTGCTATTATATAAAACTGTTTTCCTTTAATTCCGTGATTTTTCTTTGCCCTCTGCCGCGTGGAATCTTCAAGTCGTTCACGCTGTTTTTTCCATATTTTTTGCTTTTGTTGTTTTATTGTCTGCGCGCATCTTTAAAAATTTGCATTAATTTCTTCTGACGTWCAGTTGGCTGCCTATGCAGCKATAAAGACAGTGGTGAGTAGTAGTAGGGCGCATTAGGAAAACAAACATAAATTAATTTTGACACTTTCGCCTCGCGGCGGCGCAGCCGTGCTGCYCCCGTTGCATTCAATGCCGCCGCTGGCGTTGTGCGCAATGAAATTTATTGGATTTTTATGTAAATAGTTAATATGCATATGCGTCAAATGCAGCATGCAACACTAAAAATGCATTAGGTTGACATTGACGGTGGCTTGTTGTTGCCGTGGAGCGACTATCGCTGATATAGAGTGCAGCGCGCTGTGCGTTTGGAAATGAAAGCGCCTGCAAGTTTGGCGGCAAATGTTGGCGCGGCGAGGAGACTATAGAAACCCATCTTGTTCCGAACATGATTTGATTTTTTTTTTTTTTTACTTTTATTTTAGCTTATCTCTTAATATTTTTTAGTTCAATGTATTGGCAAATTATTGGTTTTCACAACAAACGGAATTTAAAATTTAACTGCTTGTAATTGCGTGGAATGCAATTTTCCAGCAGTTTGACATAAAAATTCTGACAAAATTATAGGCGCGACTACTTTTGACGGCGGCACTTTTATTGTAGAATGAGTTTTTTGTTGTGAAAAAAGTATAAAATTATTTCTTGGAAAAAAAAAAATCAAATTAATTAATTCAAAATTTTAATTTGATAATAAACAACAAGAATTAAAAAATTAACAGTAATTAAAAAAAAAATTAATTTGTATTGGAATTATGAAATTAAAGTTTTTTTTAAATATTTGTTGTGAGGGTTTGATTTGGCTTAAAAAATAAAATATTTAAATTATTTTTTTAATTAAAATTAAATTTTTGTGATATTAAAATTCTCTGTATTTTTGTAATTTTTGTTGCCATAGTTTGACTTAGGCTTAAAAAATTAAATATTTTAATAGCCTTAACTGCTTAAAAAATTAATTATTTCTTTAAAATTGATTTTTTTAGAATATTTTGCCGTCATATTTTGATTGGGGATTAACAATTATTGTTTTTATAGTTTAATTTTTGTTGTAATAGTATGATTTAAAAAAATTAAATACATTAATTACTTTTTTTTTAAATTTTTCTTGTCATAGTTTGAATTGGGTTGAAATGGTTTTTTAATTTTTTAAATTTAAAATAAAAAGGTTTTTTTGTTAATTATGAAAATATGTTTGTTTTGTAATATTTGTTGTCACAGTCTGATTTCAGCTTAAATAATTTATTAATTTTTTAAATTTTTGAATTAATTTTACTTCTGAATTATGAAATGATTTTTTTTAATKAATTTTTCTTGTTTATTACACGAGCTTTTTAGAACTTACTATAATGAAAATTTGTACGATATTTAAAAAAAATTGAGGCAACAATTACTTTCGAACATAACTCAAAAATATTAAGGGAAGCAATATGAAATTTTTTATAAAAGTTGCCACATTCTTGGATATACATATTTTTTCAAACTATTTTTGCCCCAATAAAGACCAACACCAATTGCGCCTTATAAACACCTCAAACATGCTCTATGATTTTCTATGATCAAAATTGGTGCATGAATCGCCCACCGTGCGTCACCGGAAAGTGACAGMAAAGTGAAAATTGCGTGCACCGACAGCTTTTTGCCAACGGCATGCGTACAAAAACGCCTAAAAACAGCGACTAAAAATAAAATACTATTTAACAACAGCGTTTACAAGACATAAGTTATCTTTTGGAATGGTGCAATTAACCCCTAAAGTGTCGCATTGCCTGTCGGACGAATTTCGCGCGGTCGCTATGCGTGAAAGTTGCAATAGTTAGCGCGAATAACACGCACACACCCCAAAAAACTGTTAATAAATGCTGGTCCACCAATTTCACCGCTTACGCCGGGAGGCAATTTGAATATTATTTTTACTTGACTGTTTTCACAGCTTTTGCTGAGTGTCGGTGACGAGTTGTGTGTTGAATAAACAAATTGCGATTCATAGCTGTTGCAAGCTACAATTGTTGTTGATTTTATATGATTGCAATATGCTGTTGTTGTTTTCCCTCCATTTGACGRACGGAAATGCGATGCTGCCGTGGCAGTCGACTCCAATTACTCGGAAGCGCTTGAACACCGCGTAAACATTACAATGAAAGCACGAAAAGAAAAAAGAAACGGTGCAGAAAGCAGGCGCTTGGAAGCGCTACAGTTGTCGACAGTTATCCTGGCGCAACAATCCTTTCTGCGCCACTTGGCGATCAACGCTCGGCGCATTTGCATATTATTCAGTTCAAGTATCACATAACAAAGCTACTGTGACTGTATGCATGCGTATGTGTGTGTCTCTTTATAGCTGTCGGCTCATTCGTCATGTCGTCTTATCTGATTGATGAATGCTCGACATAGAATTACAAAAAAAAAAAAACTGAAGCAAAAGAAAACACAAATGCGAAAGTGCTGCTCAAGGCAGGCCGTTTTCTTCTCCCAAGATTGAGGTCCTGTGCAAACATTCTTAAAATTCAAAATTCAGTTGCTACTGCCGCATTCGTCTCGTATTCGTAATCGAAATAAGCACTTCTTATTTGCATTTGTCGCTGATTGATATTGAAATGTTGATGCAAAGACAAACAAACTAAGAAAGTGGCATAATAAAAAATGTACAAATCATCAGTTATCATTCATCATCATCGTGATCGTGATCGTAAAAAACAGTCGAAGCATTAGTTGCCAATCACTGCTTCTGCCGCTGGCGTATCCCTTTCGAAGGGTTGCGCTGCGGCTGGGCAAATATTTGCTTACTCGCATTCCTTTTGCCTACTGCCTTCGTTCGTCCCTCTTATCCTTTCGCAATCACTCAACTGCTACTTTGATATGCAATACGGATAAGCCCTGCAATGGGAGCGCATCAAATCTCACAGCCCACAGATCTTTGCATAGATATAGCGCTTAAGTTAAACTGATCGCTGGCTGTCTACAACAATTAATCATCATTAAAATTGTAACCCTTGCACTTTCTTTAAACTTACTTATGCATTTGTTTAAATAAGAAAAAAAAAAATGATGACTTAAAATTTGCTTAAAAAGTCGCTTAAGTTTAACTTTCTCATGCTCTTACTTGAGTTGCACATAGAAGTAAGTGTATAACTATGTCTGTAAGTATGTATGTACACCTACCTTGACAGTTGTGTTCTTGATGGGCTTATCTGGATCGGGCACATACTCCAATGTGATGCCGTAGAATTGTCCTTTGTTGATATATGTGATGCGATCGTCTTCGCGTCGCTGTGATGAACTGATTGGACTCTCCAGATGGTAGCGGAAGCCGACATTGCAGAAGCTATAGATGAGAGAGAAAAGCAAAAAAAAAAAAAATGTAAAGGATGTTTTAGTGATTTTACTTTCTGCTTTAGTTTTCAGATTTAGATTTCAAGAGATCACTAGGACTATGTCTTAACCAATAATAGGAAAAAAATATTCTAAACAATTTTGTGGATTACTGTAAAATTTGTAAAAAAAAAAATTTTGTTAACATTGAAAAACTAGTTTTTGAAGAGTTAAAAAATAATTAAAGCTTTCACATAAGCTTTTTGGAAAAGTTTGTCGTATAAGCTTTCTTCGATTTAATAATGAACCTGAGCACTTTTTGGCTAGCTTTCGAAGATTACTTCAAAGCATTTCGACAATTTGTTACAACTCAATAATACACAAAAAGCTCCAGAATTTTTAGCTTTGTCTTCAATTAGGTATATACAACAAAGATACTATTATAATTAAAAACATATTTTTGAAGGAGATAAAAAATAATTAAAGCTTTTACATAAGCTTCCGCAGAAGCTTTTTCACAAGCTTTATGGAAAAGTTTGCCGTAAAAGCTTTCAAAGTTTACTTTAAATCACATTGTCAATTTACTAAAGTTCAAGAAAACACAAAAAGCCTCACGGTTTTTTAATTTTGTCTTCAATTGAAATATATTATGTAATATAAAAGAAATATAAGCAATAAGCTTTTGAGCTTCTAAGCACATTTACAAAAAGTTACTATTAAAATAACTCGACACTTACATTTTTGGTATTTGTATTTTATCCGCATCATTTTGTCGTCCAAAATCATGCCATGGCCTCGAGCGTGTAGCGCCATTCGGCGTTGAGCCACCCAACGATGTGGTCGGGCTATTTTGTCCATGAACGCTCACGGCTCCGCGTTGTATGCTATTCACTGAGACTGGAATGCCGCCATTGCTGTCCAATAATGTGCCAGAAAGCTCTGTGTAGTCGAAAGACTGTATGCCGACAAGACACGAGTTGATAAAATTATGAAAATAAATTAAAAAACGAAATAATAATTTAGTATATATGTTTGTACATAACGTAGCAGAACTTTCTGTAAATTTTTGATAAGGATTTTAAAAATTTAGTTTCTACAAAAATAGAGAAACAATACCAACAATATGGAATAGCAGTTGCAACAATGGCCCCATCAAATAATAATGACAGCAAGGATAACCAGAAGGTAAAACAACGCTCATAAATCAGCGCAAACAACACAACAACATGCAGCAGCATACTATATACTGAAAAAACATACARCAACAACACTACAGACAGCGAAAACCGCAAGCCGATAAAAAAACAAATGCAAATATCATCCACACATACGCATACAACGATTACAGAAAAGACATATACAATAACAACAAAAACAACAGCATCATCAACAACACAACACAACAATTCACAATAATTACCAAAATTCATAAATCTCAGCAGAACGCGACAAAGCGGTTTTGCCAACACTAACAACTACAACAACAGTTAACAACTCTATAAAAACTACACCAACAATATACCAGCAAACAAACATTCATTCAACTT